CCCCAAAACCCCAAAACCCCAAAACCCCGCATTGATAAACCAGGGTATTTTGATAAAACTAATTTTACTTGAAATTAACAACATATTCTAAACTTTAATTTTCAAAGCATTTGCGAATTCTTTATAAATAACTCAAATTAGACTTTTTCCGAAGGTAAGTCCGAATATCTAAAGATTTGGTATAGCTTATGCTTCTTTGACTTCTTCAAAGATCATATCATGGCCTTAGGACTCACATTAGTAGTCTTGGCCTTCTGCTTGTATTGTACTTTCAGTAATTTTTCTTACGCTTGGCCTTTGTGACACCTGTAAACTGCTTAGGTTGCTGTGAAAATTTTGCACTCTCTAGGCAAATTCTGTGCTTTCCCTCATCATATATGCAGTTAGATCTGCTGCTGTTGAGATAGCCCCGTTTTCGCTACTTTTAGGGGTTTGAAACATTAAGTTTGAATCGGCTGCTTTTGCAGATTGATTTTCATGCTAACTGGATTAATTATATTCCATATTATAGTGTTGATTGAATCTAGCTGTAATCTACTCTAAAGATGGTGGTTCTTTGAAAGGTTGCTTGATCTGCTACTTTTTATTGATATTGGCCATTAATACTATTTTGCGTTTTTTATTATTGATTTTGATATTATTAGTATTAAAGATGGTTGTCGGATTATTGCATGTCTACTATTACAGATCACTTTCAACCAGCTGTTCATTGGTTTAGCTTTCTAAACAAGATTACTGATAGTTTGTCAAGCCTCTCCATTGCTAGGTCTCAAATTTTTGAAGGAAGGAACCCTTGACGCAATCACTTTCAAGCTTTTGGTTAAGAATTTTATCGGATTGAAAAAGAGGGAAAAGTTCGTCTCTCTAATTACGACTTTTTGAGTCTTAGTTTCTAGTAGTATAGCATTACTTTTACAGGTGAAGAATCTTTAACTAGTCGTTAAGCTGTATGTTTCGAAATTTATGGTTGCTATTCGAGCTATCTTCTAGTTTAGAAGAATTTATGGAAAATTTAGAGTGATTGGCTGGCTAGATTTATTGGGTTAGCAATGCTTGAGTCAAGCTATCTTCGAATTTTTTAATATCTTATATTTAATCTTAATTATTAAGCTGGCTTGGATCCTTTAACTTTTGGAGTATTTTGCTAAAGTCCAAATCTTAATCCTTTCTTATAACTCGCTGCTGTGATCTGTTCCTATACCTTTCGAACTCTATCTTTTAAAATGGTTTAAGGGTCACTTTTTTATTTTGAATGGGGTTGGGTGGCTTATCCTCTGTTGGGCTCTCTGAATTTTAATTTGATATTGCTTGAAAGCTGCGCGAACGTCTTGTCTTTACTTCCTTCTCAACTAACCTTCTTTCAAAAAACATTTTCTGAGGCTGGATGAAGCTACTGAGGTAGTCCTTATAATCCACAAGTGCTTCCTTCTATATCAAATGCCGACTAAGTGATTTTTCTGAATTAAATCTCTGAATTGGCAGATCTTCGAATAAGTCCTATTACTAGATAGTAGATCTTTGATTAAGCTTCGTAGTATTTTCGAATGCTTATTTTGCTATTAGCTGTGAAGTTATATCAATTTACGAAGAAGGCCTGTTTTGTTATTAGTAGTAAGCGTTGACCACTTCCTGCTAGGTCTGGATCAAAGCTTTATCATCGCTTTTCATTGTTAGTTTAAATGAACTGTCTTAGCTTCTATTTTGTGAGCTTACGACGCTACTGCTTGGTAACCCAATATTTCCCTCTGATTTTATTCTCAATATTTTATCTAGATTTTTTCTTGTTGGTTAGTTTATTTTAAGTTTTGATTGTGCAAAAAAGTCCTCTGGAAAATTTCTTAGAATTTTAGTATTTTTTACTTGAATTGGCTTTAAGCAAACTTCTTCCTTGTTTTATTGCTCTTCGTTAGTCTTCTAGCCTGTATTAAAATTTTTTTGTATATCCATTCTCGGAAGTACAAGCAATGACGCCTTTTTGTTTAGAATTATTTTTCTCCCTTTATTCCCCTGTTCTCTCAATAAACTGTCATGCCTTGTATGGTCCATCTGCTAAGGTATGCTCTAGGGCTAGTTTGACAATTGAAGATTATCAGGATTGAAAGAAGGAGGCTTATCTTTTTTAAAATTTAATACTTCCTTTTTCTTCATAAATAATCTAAATAATATATTTTTTCTCATCATTATTACAATAGCACTAATTTGTAAACTCGGGGTTTTGGGGTTTTGGGGTTTTGGGG